TTGATTAATAGATTCCTTCATTTAGCGATTTTACAAGTTCAGAATTAAAAGCTGGGTTAATCCAAATATCTTTCAGAAGAATTAAAACTTCTTTTATAACATTTGTGATTTTTTCTTCTGATTCTTTTCAGGACTTATCGTAAATTAGTTTATCTGGTATTGTATTCTAAATGTTATAATTGATAAAACTTGTTATGAAATTTTCACATATCTCTTTAACTATCATCATAGGAGCAGACGCCATCTACCGAGCAGGTTTCTAATATAAAAAATATGTTATATTTACTCTTAAAGAACCTTCAACAAGTTACCTACCTTAAATGCCTTTTTTAGATTTAATGATAACTGCTTGATAACTTCTGATTGATTGCTAATAACTCGATTGGCTAAAGGATCCTTTCAGGTTAAGCTTTGAATAGATATAGCATTTACTTTGAAATATAATTGTTGATAGAGAGGCAAAGTGTCTTTTCTAAGCTTTTCTTTTAGATCATTTATATTATCATCAATCTGTTCTGAGCTAAAAGGAATTTCCTTATCCATTTTAATTGCTTCTATGTCATATAAAATACAAATATCTTTAAAGCTAATGTTAAACTAAAAAAAAAGTATTGCGTTAGATTTCAGAAATAAAAAGTAATTCTCATCATAAAAATAACACAATCATCAGTATATATGCGAAGTTATCATTTTTGTGTGCCCATCACGCAGACAAAACTTTGTGTAATATTAACAAAATAATATAATAACTCATATCTTAACACACTCCTCGACATGGCAATAACCTTTTCACATAATAGGTTGGTAGTGTGAACTACAAAACTGCATAACAGATTATAGCATATACACCCCTCTATTATGTGTAAGTATTTACTGGCAAGCGAGCTGAATGGGTAGGTCAAACATAAGCAACAAACCAAAAAATAACTTATTTATTCAGGTTTACTTTAGTAAACGATCACATAGTATCATCATATAATAATAAAAAGCTAAAATATTTGCATAAATCTTAACTAACCTGTGGTAGGATTCAGAAAATTTTTAATTGACGAGAAGAACCTTTCATAAATGTATTGCTAACAGAACCTACAGCTTGTTCTACAATTGATTTTAACTCTATCTGAAAACCCCAGCGGTTTTCTTTCATTCCAAGATAAATAACAAACGTAGCATTTATTTGATATTTCTCAGCAGTCATCAAGAATTTATAAATCTTATTATATATTACGGTAAATATATTTACGTAATTAGTTTTGAATATAAAATAATATTAATATACTGAGATAACACTAACAGCAAATTAAATGACAAAAGGTTAAAAATTACCTATACACCCTTTTAAATGCCACCATTTTCTCACATTTATACTCACATTCATATTGAGAAAGAGATAGAAGAAATATGCAAGGCACTTTGCGCTAAAATTCTATGTTTGTTAGTAAAAATATGCAGAATGTGTATTAAAGATCTTAACATTTACAAAAGGCATTGGGATAATGCATATACAGACTTTTTTCGCTTACCTGATCACTTAATATTTAATATTAAGATCTGGTAACATTATAGATATTATTCTACTTAGAATATTCTGTCCCTCTAAAGTAAATATACATATTAATAAATGCTATTTCGCTAAATCTTATTCTGCTAAATATTGTAAGGAAAAAATTCAAAATATTTTTTGAGATCGACTTATGTGTGAAATTATTTTGTCGCACAAGCAATTACATAGAGTTACAAATGATTTGTGGTGTATCACCTATTATATCATTTATATACTTTAATGAGAATTATAAAACGTGTTTATTGTGTTATGCATATAACTGTATTTTATTAAGATATTATTTGAAATCTAGGTCAAGGACTGATCTGAAAATTCGACATACTAACTTACAATTATCATCCAAATCTGAGAAATTTACGGTAATATATTTTTCCCCATAAATACAATATATGTATTTTAACAGCGAATTATATATAGGTTTTTCCATTTCTGATGATCTACTTTTATATATCTCGTATTCTAAAATTCTGATAAAGAATGCATAATTATATTTTTTTTTATGAATGCTACTATAATATTCAGGATTCTGTGGCCATTTTAACATGTCAAGCCAATATGTATTTCTAACAACCATATAGCCTTGCTGATATAATAATTTTCTAATAAGTATTTGTGTCATAAAAGCTAATCGTTCCTATAATTAGACTCTCTTCATATATATCCAAATAGTAGTAAAATAAATGTTATGCTGATTTTCTACATAAAATTGGTCAATCACATAATTAGATTCTATTAGTTTTCCATTAATGAAATAATATGTTTTATCACGAGGAACCATACCTAAAAACTTCATATTGTTAAGAGTACCATTATTCCTCACCACTTCTCAAATTTGTTTTGTCAAAGATTTAGATCTTTTCTTGTAATTCCTGTAAGTTTGCTATATAACTGTTGTATAGTAATTCTCAAATTGATAGTTATATCGTCTTGCAATCAAGAATCTCCAAGACCGCTTCATAGATAGTTTACTAAAATAGTTATATAATATATTAGAAGATCTATCCTGAAATAAGCAAATCAGGTTTTTTATCCTGCGGGTGGTATGGGATTATTCAGAATATATCAAATATAGCACAAAAAATAAATTATATTTCAGTTGAAAGTAATAAATTATAATTAAAATATTTTTTCAGAATTATTCAGTTAAACCAGTTAAACAATTGTGACTTTTGTTCTATCTCCCAATCTAAGCACAGTACCTTTTGGTTGATTGAGATGATTTAAGTTATTTGTTTTACATATATAGATGAGATAAATATTTTACTTGGAGAAGTCAACGAGTGTAGCTCATCCCTTATAGAATCCCGATACTTAAATTTATCAAAGGCTTGTTGCTTAACCCTTATACATCTAAGATTACTTAAAGGATCAGAATATCCTTAGTCCCAATGTCTCTGCATCATATTCTTAGCTTCATCAATTCAATGAATCTATACCATCCATGGTGGTATGATTTGGTTGGCTTTATTTCATTAACTCAAAATGGTTTCCAGCAACAAAAGCAGATTGCCATATTGTTTTTATGGATTTTAGGACGATAATAAGAATAATATGATTCGTCAAATTTGCCTTCACCAAATTCTGTAAACAAGCAGAAACTATGGTATATGCTATTTTTATTTTGTGATAATAAATATTGGAGAGTACTTTTAACTTATAATCCTCACTACACTGAAGACTCTCCCTTTCTTATTATCGATAATCTGTCATAGATTTTTTCATTAGCAAGAAATTTTTCAACATCTATACCACTATAGTAATTTCTGAGATATGTTCTATAATATTTCATATCATATCCAGGACGGTTACTGACAGGCTTAGGTAACCACTATTGTTTTTTATCAATAATCATATTAATGTTAATAGCACTTGCTAAGGTAACAACTGTCATATTTAGCAAATTATACTGATTTTATTGATTTATAGTGTTTTTAGCAAATTCTTAAGTAATATATATTATAGAATATCATCATTCAAATTTATACGGATTTACTGATTAGCAGTTAATTGATTTATAGCTGATTTGAGAAACTACATATTGCTAAACCCAAATTCATTTTTCTGAAGACAGATTATATAGTTATTCATTTTGCAAAAAAAAATAAAGTATATTATAGATAAATTATAAATATAGTTGAGATAAATAATGTTTTTATTCAGTTGAAAAATATTAAATTTATCTTCTATTTTGCATTATTTCGCATAGAATTAAAATATTCCTCAGCATTAATCAAGATCCGGCTTCTCTCAAATCTATAAACTAAAATCTCTGATGCATTTGCACTATGTCACATAGTGTATCTCTCAAAGCTATTCATTAACGCAATAGGCTTTAGTGGCAATGGAGGAGAAGTCAATAGACGTGGCTTATCTGTCCTATAAGAATAGTATCTTTGGTATTGGACAGAAGAAGAGGTTAAGAAGGTATTATCCATACAGATATTTTTTTGCTGGTTATAAATATAGTAAGGCTTGCTATGCGTAGTATTTATATTACTTTGCATCTTATGCTTTTGCCTGATACGTCAAATCCTATTTGATACATTTTCCAGCTACATCTCATATCGACGGATTGCTTTCTTTGTGAAATAGCAAGGTGGTGGGTTATTTTTCAGCTTCATGTAGTCTTCAAAACTCATATCACAATATTTGTTTCTGGTACAATTTGTACGCTAATGCTTATCCATAAAGAATGTATGGAAATACTCGTATCCGCTTCTTAATTTAGAATAAACAAGTTGATTGCAAGAATAGCATATTCCTATATTTACTCTGAACCAAACATCACCTGAATATAAATATCTTAGTTTTCTGACGATAAGATATCTCTTATTAGTATCAGTCATAAGATTATTTTTTCTATATTCCATTAATATATCCTAGATTCGCTTCTTCTAATCAGATGGAATCTCATTCCTACGCACCCTAGAAAAATCATAGTTAACATACGAATCAGTTATACTTAAATGTACAAGGAGATCAGAATATACCATATTTAACGATCTTAGCAATTAAGAGATTTATAGCGTTTTTGGTAAATTATAACGATTTATAGCAAATATATATAGTAAAATATCAGATTCATTTTTATTGTTAACTAAAAGTTAACGGATTTAGATCTATGCTAATTTTATGTTTACATGCAGTTTGTGAATCTCTTGTGATTAACAGGGAAGCGCTTTGCATGATGTATAACATGTATAACATAAAAAATTTGTATCACCCTGGCTCCTTCCCATAACTCAAATCACAAGATAGTTGGCTAATCAAAAAAAAGCTAAGCCATCATTAAGGTTAGCTTTCGGCATTATGTTTTTACAATCTATCATTAAACCGGATGATTTGTATAAATAGATAGTTATTTCACAAATGGGTTGTCTGACAAAAAACCTAATGACGTTAAAGAGTGATCCCTAGAACACATCTTGAAGAGCATATGACTTCATCTAGATACAATAATAATGACATAAAAAAAATTCAGGATCAAGATGTTGATAGTTACATTTTTCTCCATTTAACCGAAGAGAAACTTACCAATATGAATGGTTTGTTTAAAATAAAATTAGAACACGCCTCTCATATCATAAAGTTAGTAGAGGAACTCAAAGAAAAATGAGGTTAGTAATTGTATATCTTCATGAAATAATATTTGGTTTATTCATATTACAGAAGGTGGACAAAAGTTTCCAGACACTTTTTCACCAAATATAAAACTTATAATTACTTAGCATTAATAGTAAAAGTTCTAATATTATTTTATTTAGAGCTGGTTAAGGCATACTTTTCATATTAAACTTTTAGTACTTGGTTGGGTCTCCCTTTGCCACAATCACAGCCTGAATTCGCTGTGGTATGCTATCGACTAAATTTTCAATAGTATGCATCAGAATTTCTCGCTATGCCTTTTTAACATATCACTCGAGATCAGCAAGATTCGATGGGATTTTAAATATGCACAAATTTTTTTTTAATATCAGCCCATAAATTTTCAATTGGGTTAAGATCAGGACTTTGGGCTGGCTAAGTAAAATATGGCTCCACGTTGTTCTTTGGTTAATTCTTTATTTTGTCCCATTATTTTTCGATTTGGTAGAGATTAAGTGAATTAAATCAAAACAACAAAAAAAAACACGAATTTTTTTATTTTGATTATGTAAATAAATAATAGACGGTCATATGACCGCAGTATGGTATCACAATTATATGACGAAAATTTTTTAAATCGCATTTATAAAGGTATCCGGAAACTTTTGTCCACCCTCTGTATTTCCATTTTTTTGTAGAATCATCCCCTGTGTCCGTTGAAGTCATAACCGCCACCGAATTTGAAAAATTTCGTAAAAGTACTAGAAATCAATTAGAGAATCTTAATAAAAGGATTAACATCACCTCTGAGTTTAATAAGCTCTTTTCTGATGTTAAAGATGCCCAAAACGATATTAGGGAATTAAAAATCGTTTACTTATCTAGATAGATAAAACAACATAATTATTTTTTACTTGTATGTTGTTTCGGCAACAATTTTATAAATAAAGTGAGGTCTTTATAGACTACGAGTTAAAAATTCACAATCCTGCATATACGCACATATTTTTTTAAAAAATCAAACGAATTCTTTATTATATTTTTCGTAAAGTATTACATGAGAAAGGGCCGGCCGGCTATGTAAAAAAATGAAACTAATAAAAGATATTGGAGTAGCAGGTTGTTTCAAGGGAGGAATTTGCCGAGCCCCAACCCATATAATAGCAGTTCCTTCTCTGCTACTCCTCGGATTTGCTATCTATCCAAGCACCTATTTTCTCTAAGTTTTCGCTTTTTATATTAGCCCCATGGTAAAAACTTTTTATTATATCACTTCCAAGTTTTCCCATCCCAAGTTTGAGAATTTCAACGGATATAATACTACACATCTGATCTAATGTATAATTTTCCAAACACATAGTTAAATCAACGATACTAGTAAATTGTTGGCGAATTACAGAAATGATATTTGCGAATCTTTGACTCGAGCCTGCAACCAGAAAAATTTTAGTCAAACCTCTCTAATACATAAAGCAAGGATTATTATGTTTTTATCTTACCAGAGAACCGGAAGAGCTTGAACATGAATTAGTTGAAGAGCCTCGTAAATTAGTTTCGGATTCATTGGACACTGTTGAGCGAAATCGGATCTTTGAGCTAGTGCGTAATGTCGATTTATTTTGTTTTGGAGATCTTCAATAACAACATTAATTGACATACAGTAAATCTGGAAGTAACGGATTCCTCCAGGGATCTAATTCTGTCAAAATGATTTTGACGGCCTTCTTCGATATTATTAAGTCTAGAAAATATTTTCCGTCATTCTGTGCTTCTTTGGCATAGCCAGCATCACGTACTTCAATCTTTGCGGTGAGTTTATTATTAAGCTCGGTATTAATTTCATTCTTAATTTTGGTGATCTCTGCACACACGACACAAATAAAAATCATATGACTGAATTCATGTTTTTTACAGGTGGTGTAATGTGCATCGAATAAACATGTTTATATGCTGGTTTCGTATACATTATAGCATTTCTTTATTATATATATTATACAGACTCCATACAAGAAACTTTTAGGAAAAAAAATTGACAGACATACTAATACACTGACATACACTTGATCATGAAATTTTAATAGAACCTGAACTAACCTTCCCTCGACCTCGACCTCGACCTTTTCCCTTCCTCTTGTCGTATTCCCTTGTCTATTCGTCTCCTCTTTTGATACATTAGGTAAAAACTCGGCAAACGTCACAACTCTAGGTCGGTTTGGTGTGAACCCAGTTACGTACTTAGTTGTGGGTTTGATTATATGTTGTTGTCCCTCTCTCTCAAATTTTTTGAACATTTCAATCTTCTTAACGACATTATATCTCAAGCATAGAAGCGTCCGGATCAATCTAGGTGTATGTTCTAAGTTGTCAAGTGAGGTTGGAACTAGGAGGTTCGGAACCGTGAACGGGGAATATAAATATAGGCCAGGACCGATGTAGACCATTTGGCCAATTTCGAGTTTGTCACCTGTAATATACTAAAAGTTAAAAATAAACACTTCACATTCAGCTTAGAAATATCCTGAAAATAGCTTATTAAATCCTTGCGCTAGAAAGATTCCCAAATTTTGACATACTTCCCAAGTTGGCAGGTTAGTTCTCATCATGAACTTATTTAAAGCGAAAACACCTTCCTTCATTAATTTTTGTCTGTCGTCGCTGAATTTATCAAGGTCCGGTTTAGAAGGGTCTCCCGAAACTTCAAGTAAAAATACTGGGATCTGATTGGGCCGTTTTAGAAATTCCGCAACTCCATCTGCCTTATAATCAACTACTTGCAAATCTAACTTTGTAGAAATAGTTCTTTCACATGAAAAGTATTGTATGGAATCCAGGAAACTAAAGGTAATAAAAAAAAAGTATGCTAGGATATGCGCTGTCCAAGATCGTTCTGTAGTGTTTTCTAAAATTCCTTCTAGCTTTGTGAAACTATCTATGTGGCTTGAAATACTCTTGATAATGTGTATATCAGGGTATTGAGATTGATCGTAGTGTAGTACTGGAAGGGGAAGGGAATTTGATAGGTATCGAAATTTTGTTGTTATTTCATTCAGACTATGTAGTATTTTTTCCATTTCAGAAATGACACTGCTCTTAGCATCGTTATCATCATTTAAATCAATCAAATTATTTGCTTTAGTGGTTTTTTCCCCCGAAGGATATCCTATAATTTGATCGAATAATGCTAAATATTCGTGTGCCTTTGTACTTATATGATTGTTCTCGTCATTTAAAGTCAGTCTTTCGGATAACATTTTTAATTCATCTTCGCACAAAAGTTCATGTGTTTGCTTCATCATTTCATTATTTCCTAAGTCAATTATGTAATAATCCGCTCCAGAATCACGGGAATGCCATATAGTTTTGAGCTTGTCATAATAAGATGGAACTTTTTCAAAGATATTGGAAGTTTCGATTATTGAATTCAGCAAATCTTCTTGAGTAGCGCATTCTTCAGCCGAGTCTTCCTTCTGGATCATACATGGACGCTTATTTGGTAGTGAATTATCACCTCCCGCACCAGCTAGCTGTCTTGTAACATTCTCTCATACAAGATTTTCTTGGTTATCTCGTTGAAGAGTAGAACGTACAGTTGTAGTAGTAAGCTCCTCCTGTAAAAAAAAAGAGCGGAAAATATAAGAGCAGTGAGCATTTCCATTATATCATATATATACCTTGTTATATTGAAAGGCCAAATACATACCACTAAAGCTGAGCGTTCAGACAAAGCCTCGATTTTCCGCTTTTTGTGTTGAAATGGCGTTCGTCCAGAAATCGTCAATTAATTCCGATTTCTTTTCTTGCTATTAATGATAAAATGAATCAATGATTAGTATTATTCTTTTGATTATTTATTATTTGACGTATTCAGAATTCTTCGATATTTTTATTTAATTGTTGATTATATTAAAAACTTTATTTGTTTCAATTCTATTTTTAATATATTCTAGTTGCAAGAACGGAACCACCCGAGACGAGACTCATGCACTCCTGAGCGAGATCAAGAGTGTTGGGTGATTGAACGCAGGACGTGGCCCCATCCAAAGAACTATTACTCTTCGGACCCGTTCACTTTCAACTAAGAAAAAGCACTTTTTGGTGAAATGGAACCACCCGAGGCGAAACTCATACACTCCCGAACGAAATCAAGGGTGTTGGGCAGAACCAAACCAACCATAAATGCACTTTGGCAGGACAGAACCACTCGAGACGAGACTCTTGCACTCCTGAGCGAGATCAGGAGTGTTGGTGGTTGAACGCAGGACGTGACCCCATCCAAAAAAGTTATTATTCTTTGGACCTGTCCACTACCATTATTTTCGAATATACTATGTTCGTCCATTATTAAAACAACAAGAAAGAAAAATATTTAACTTGTACTGCATTAAGTGCCACGTAAGCTAGATCGTATGTAGTCTCAGATAGACCTTCACTTTCAACGATGGCTGAGAGGTTGCGAATATATCGTTTGTGTTCACCACATTTATTAGCTGTGAAATCATCGCATTGTTGTAGGTATAATAAGAAACTTAATAATGACCAGTCACGGTCAAGGGTGAAGTAGGTAGGATCGCATAGTGGGATTTCTATTGAGAAAGAAAAATTCCATAAACGCCGAAGAAGGCAGAAATCCCAGAGAGTATAGAGAATATAAACTTACCCTCCATTATGACAAACGTTTCTTCTGTTACAATAAATTTTTTTCAACTTGACTTACAAAGTTGCCTTCAAAACGTGAAGCTTATATCAAGCGCGTATCGAGTAATGTTATACTAGCCCTAGACCGGATCGACTGATCGCAATCAAACCGATCAATCAGATTTGGTGTTCACCCTGATCGGATCGATATCGGTACACGACAACCAATCATTTTTTTCGGTCCAAACGATCCGGCTAGGGATGGGAAATTAACGGTTAATTAAGATTTGGTTAATTAACCGGTTAATTAACCGTTAATTAACCGTAATATAA